GTGCTCAAGGTCATGTCAGTGATGTTTAGATTGCATATGTTCTAAATTCTGTAACATCCTTATCCTGTTGTCTACTTTTCTTCTTACAAGTCATAGTAATTGCATCTTTTTCAGCTTCTTTTAATGCTGTTATTCAGGATTGGTGATAGTAGACTCTAGAGCAGACAGGAAGCTGGCCATAACATTTTTAGGGTTTAACCCAAGCATGACACAGTGGGAAGGACGTTAAGTTTTGAAATCAGATAGACCATCTCTGCTACCACTGGCTGGGTGACCTTGAACAAATTACTGAACTTCTTGAGCTTCAGTCTGTCCTCACTAGTGGATTGACTGCGTCAGTCAGTGTCGGCCATCTCAGAGGTGCTAGTGTCACATCCCCGTCTGTTAGTAGCATCAGTAACCCAGCACTGGCTTGTTCTCGCTTTAGGACCATTGTAGCGCTGGTGTACAATGTGCTGAAAACCCTCATGGAGATGAACGGCAAGCTTTTCGATGACCTTACTAGCTCATACAAAGCTGAAAGACAAAGGTATTTGACATTTTAAATTTCAAACTTAACTGTACATTTTAGATTAGTTGAATGTGATTCATTCCATAAGGTATTCTAAGTTAAAATTATGTTTAATTTGAACATCTGAGGTGGTGGTAGTGGTTTAGAACCTGCCCACCAGTGCAGGAGACACAAGACACGAGTTCAATCCCTGGGTCAGGAAGGACGAAATGGCAGTCCACTCCAGTGTTCTTGCCTGAAGAGAATCCCACGGACAGAGGAGCCTGGAGGGCTACAGTCCACAGGGTTGCAACGAGTCAGACAGACTGAAGCGACTTAGCATAATAAATGCTTCATGGGCTTCCCCAGTGGCTCAGGGTAAAGGTTCCACCTGCCAGTGCGTATGAGCGGAGGAGCCTGGCAGGCTGCAGCCCAGGGGGTTGCAAAAAGGTGGACCAGACAGTAACAACAGCAGCACTTTAACGTCAAGTGTGGGGGAGCTCCTGATGGCTACATTGTGGCTTTAATGTGGATCGTAAATACTGATCTCATGAGCCTTAGACTTCATCCGTCTTGGTAACATCTACATTGTGAAGTACAATTTATGCTAAATTTTAAATAACTGTTTTACTCATTTTTACATTTATGAGAATTGCTTTTGTCTACATGGGCTTCTATAGTGAGCTTATTCTTTAACTGTTCCTTGCATAATATTTAAACTTAAGGTGGACAATAACTGATGTACCTGAGTCCATTTATTTCTAATAAGTGTATCACCGATTATGTTTGGAAAAACTGATGTACTTTGACTGTAAAGTTCCTAGTCCTGGTTTTCTGGTGTCAAGTAGAGAAGGGATCTCTCTTCAAGGTCATCCTAGTCCATCAATAACTCAATGCATTATTTCTCTTAAATAGCACCTCTCAGGCAGGAATACAAATTACATAGTTAAGAGCCCTCGGAAGCAATAGGAAGAAGGAAGAGATGACTGAGATCATATGAAACTTACATTGAAAAATGCATATTTCACATAACTAAGACTGATTCTTGTATCTCACTATCTGCGTAAATCAGCACTTTTGTCCCCTTAAAGCATATATAACTGCAGAACTGTAAGCCTGTGGGTTTTTCACACATTTATATAGCCCTTCAGAATAGTTTGGTCCACGTTATTCAAAAATGTTCTCTTTAGAACTGAAATTAAGTATTAATAGTTGAAGCAACGTATTTTGAGTTTTGTGGGGTTTTTTAGAGATTATTCAGACTTTAAAGTTTCCATCTGACATGTAAGAGACAAGGGACAGTAAGGCACAGACTGGTTGGTAGCTTAGAGACGGGATGCTGAAGGATGTGGCTCCACCAGGACATGGCTCCAGATCGACTCATGGCCAGCCCGTCAGTCTGTTGGCAGAAGAGTGCTCGTGACCACCATAGCCACTGCACGGGGTTTACGTGACTGAGTCCACGCTGAGTGCTCTGTCGACCACAAAGCACTAGCACAGTGGCTGTGGCGACGGTGGTCCATTTCAGCTGGTGCAGGAGATGCACGGACATGGTTAAGTACACTAAGGAGAGTAATGGCAAATAACGCCGTGCCCTGGGTAAACCTGAATCTCACATGCTTTAGGTGGAGGGGTTTAAGTGAAACGTGAGTCAGTAGTCTGTTTTCCAGCAAACTGCCAAACAGCATGTTTCTTCAAGCTGTGAAATAAGTTTCTAACTACAAAATTCTTGCTTTGTTTACAGGGAGAAAAAGAAGGAATTAGAACGAGAAGAATTGTGGAAAAAATTGGAAGAGCTAAAGCTAAAGAAAGCTCTAGAAAAGCAGAACAGTGCTTACAACATGCACAGTATTCTCAGCAATACAAACGATGAATAAAAAAAAAGCCTGCCACCTCTGTTGGCTAGGCGGTTTTGTACACTTTTTTGGAATATGTAAAAATTATGAAACAAACCTCATCAGTATAATATAATTAAAAGGCCAATTTTTTTTCTGGCAACTGTAAAAAAAAATATATGGACTAAACATAGCCCTATGCTGTATCATGGCCACAGTATATTGTAACCCTTGCCTAATCATTGATTTGTGTCACTTCTGAAGTTTCACAGAAATGAACTTTATCATTGATGTGATATGAGTGGAATAATTATGGGCGTGGTAAGAATCATGACTTGAATCCTGGTTTTGGTTGTGTTGCACATAGGCATAGTAGTCTGCTCTGTATATTTTTCCCTTTGATAATGTGCTTTTCACATCGCTGCAGACCTTAGTTACATCCTAGGAAAAAAGACTATTTCCTAAACTAAAACTAAGGTGTAATTCTTATCCTTTCTTTCATCTCTCCCAGAAGTATGGTGGAGGGAACTACTTGCCCTAAGCCTTCCTTTTGATATATTACTGTACTCTGGAATTTGAGCAAAAACTTAATTTCCAGGCTTTTAAAAGCACAAATTATAAATAAAAGCTGGGAAAGTAAACCAGGTTTCCGATCAGTCCTTATGAATCTTCCCCCTTCATCTCCAGCTCCCCAGGGTGATGAGCACAGACGCGTGGAGGCAGCACAGTGAACACCACCTGCCTCTCAGTCCATTCCTCCTCTTTCTCCCAAAGGCTGAAGGCAGGGCCTTCCCAGTCCTCACAGCCTGCCCTTCTCCGGCCCCTCCCGACAGGGACGGAGGCTTTGAGTCCCACGGTGTGGTGGTGCGGAGCGTGTTGTCACTGCCTGGCTTTACTTAAAGGAAATGCAGTAGGCTTCCTCTGTAGGGTTCTGAAAAGGCGGCCAATAGGAAGTCATGTACGTTTTTACTTGGTCAAGTATTTCTCACATTTTATTATCAGAGTACCATTCCAATCTCTTAACTTGCAGTTGTGTGGAAAACTGTTTTGTAATGAAAGATCTTTATTGGGGGATTGAGCAGCATTTAATAAAGTCTATGTTTGTATTTTGCCTTATGTCACCTTTGCTTTTTTCAGCACTGAGTTGAGACATCCAGAAGCCCCACCCCCTCCATTCATTCATATGTATGTACAAACATATGTACATACATGTATACAGAGAAAACTTGTAAGGCAAACTGAAAATTCTATGCCAATTAGAGAATAGGAAGACTGTGTGCCAGAGTTGAGTGCTGCAGCCATTTACCAAAGCTTTCTGTTTTACAGAATTTGTACATAAAATTTAAATTTGAGGATATCTCTCCACCTCCCTTCATGTCCCTTTATGTTAATAGGATGGGTTCTAACTTACCTTAAATGTGTATGCATACATATACAGTGTTAATTAAAACAGACCCAGGAGCAAAACCTCAAAATCTGTAAGTAATGGCACTGTTTTTTATGGGGGGCAGGGAGATTGTGGCAGAATCAGAAATTGTAACCAAGCTTTCCACTACTGATAACCTGCTTCTGGTCTTTCACAACCATAAAAAACTCTAGCACACTATTCCTAGGTCACTGCAAAAGCAACTCGTTCCACTCATTGTGGCCCCAGGAGAAACTTCCTTTCAGGATACAGCTCATATTTTACACTGTTTCCAAGTGGCAGCCTTCCTGCAACCATCCAGATCCAGTGTTCTTGCCCAATGCTCCACGCTAACCGGAGGCCAGCTAGGATTACTGACAGCTGGGGGCAGCACACGTAAAAGAAAAGGGATCCTACTACTGAATACCACAAAAGGCAAACCCAGCCTCCCGAGAAGCGAAGGCTGGGTCTAAATGTCTTGGTCTAAGCATATAGCCTTTTACTAAGAGCAGCTAGAGTAGGTTTTGGCAGGCTGCAGTTAGTTAATAGCTGTTAAAGAGCTAGAAACACTCACTTCCGACCTAGGTACTCTAAAGCATATTCAAGAGATTTCTCAACTTCCTAAAATAACAGGAAGTGCAGTTTTAGTATGTTCACTGGAGCCAATTTTGTGAGATACTTAGTATGAAAATGGTGTGTCAACTTTAGAAATACTTTAAAAATACACACACTTGTTTTTCAATACTGTTAATGTAAGCTTCTATGCCGGACTCTGCCTTACAGAAAGGTGTTACAAGACCTCGGTTAAAGTTCATATGCCTGCTTCGGTGCCACAGAAAAATGGCACGGAATATTTCCTTACACAAGTTCACTTTTAATAACTGAACCAAAAACCACAGTTTCTTGCTAAGTTAGACATGAGATTAAAATTGAACCCCTCAGACATTGGAGTTTTTCTCTCTGAATTACCTAAAACCAAGTTATGAAATTGAAGAAGTGCTACCCAAGTCCTCTCTGGATGCAAAGGGCATGTAAACAGTTTAGAACTCCAAAAAATAATTTACAAAACCTTAAATCAGTCAATGGCTACCATGTGAAAAACGCCCAGATGGTACTCCTTTCAGGCTAGGCTGAAAGCTCTGAGGGTCCATGCTGAGTGTGCCTTTCTCAGATGGGTTGGCTGCAGGACAGCAAGAGTTAACAGCTTATTCACGGAGTTTCACCACCACTTCCTGCCCACCCTGCACGTGGTCATGACGTACCTCGGGAGTCCAGGCTAACACTTCCTTTTATTTGGAGGTCATGGGGATAAAAGTGTACCAGTGCCTACTGATGTAGCAGATGCGCACACCAGCACTGATTCCTTCTGTATTAACCTAACTTTTATTCACCTGTTAATGAGATCATCAAAACACAGAGGAGGGACCTACTATGCACACATGTCCTAGCACCCCTGCATGTTAATCACGCCCAACTCAGACATGCATCCGTCAATATTCTAGCCAGACAGGTAGGTGGCTGCTCAGTCCACAAGCGATCTAATTACTATAGTTTCCACAGTAGTTTTAAAAAACAGTCTCATTTAATATTTAACACATGAGAGTATGTCAGAGACTTGCACATGGCACCAGAGATATGAGGGGTTTTGTGTTTCTCACGAATAGCACACCGGTTCCACACTGTGACCTCCACCGCCGGAGAGTCACCAGTGCGGGGAGAAGAAAGTCACACACCCTTCATTTAAAAAAAATCTCAAGGAGAAGACCTGCGGTCAGAACCTTAATCATCCTGTCGGACCTTAACTATACACCAAACCAAGGAAGAAGGAAGACAGCTTCCACAAACCTTCAGAACACTGGATTCTATCTGAGTCCATCTTCCATTTGACATATTCATGTCATATGTCAAAAAATGTTCATCAATAATTTAAATACTTAAATAACGTTTAGGTCATCCACTGGATCTGTTCCACTGGGCTCTAAGAGAGTCTCGTTGGGGGGCCAGGTTAGAAGCTGCAGTGCGACAGGCTAGGCCCCCGGCAAAGCCTGTTTTCTTCAAGTGAGGACTGGATTGCTGGCAGCCTGGTTTACCAAAGTGGAAGTGATGAGAACTTCCATCAACTCGGGCAGTTTCTACAAACACCACCAACAACCTCAGCTTATGTGGTTTGTTGCCTGACCTCTTCTCTTAAGGTATCGTCTCCGAATTTTGATCATCCATTTCACACTCAGTTTGGCAAATTCTGCAGCTTTAAATAATGCCAAGAAAGCTCCACAGAGAAGAGCAATTGTGTTCCAAGGATTGGCGGTGATTATCTGCGAAATGGAAACAAACACAAGTTTCTTAGATGGCTTCCATTTTTGATTCTCAGTGTTATTGTCAAAGAGCCCCCCAAATTACTGGCACAACAAGAAAAACACCTGGTCTTTAAGACTGCCATAACTTGGGACTTTCCTGGCTGTCCAGTGGTTAGGACTCCATGCCTCCACGGCAGGGTGCACAGGTTCGATCTCTGGTCAGGAAACTAAGATTCGGCATGCCACTTGGTGCAGCCAAAAAACTGTTAAATTGCCATAACTCTATACATCGTTCATAGCTCCATTTTGAGGAGAAAAATACTAGTCCCTCCTGATAATAAAGTGATCCTGAAAGGGAAAAAAAAAGGAATTTTTCAAGAAAGCTCTGCACAAATAAGATAATCAATGCTGAGTTTTAAATTTCTGGCCTAATTCACAATGCAACCTTGTTTCCAAACAACACTGATGGCCTGCAGGCCAGGCCCCTCCGACTCACCTGCCCTGGCTGCTTCCCTGAGTCACTAATCCTTCCAGGCCCCTCACAGCTTCTGCTGGCCACTAAGCCAAACCCTCTCAGTGTGAGCAGAGAGATTTCGCCCACCATCTCCACTGGCAGTTCCTCACGGTCTGCAATTACTTCCTTTATGGCTTAGACAGTCCTCTGACCGACTGAAACTCCTTCAAGGCGAAGTCACGGCTTCTATGTCTGAGTTCCCCGCGTGGTTAACACACAGCACTTCGAAGTCCTGGTTCAGCAGGACCGGGCTCATCTATGAAAGCGGTTACTCCACCACCACCATTCAGGATGGCTGTGAAGCTGACGGACGACCTAAGTCAAGGGACCTTGAGCTCAGGGCTTTACATGGCCCGTAACGGGACTTAAAACACTGAACACAGCAGGTTAGAAAACGCGTGATCACACATTTCCCCTGCGGAACTAAAGGCATTCACTCTTCTATGTGGCGTCTTTCATTCAGGGAGTCCGCACACACTTACTGCGTGCACGGCCCAGCTAGGCCCACGACTTAACAGCGTGGTGGCATCACATACCACGTCACAGAGACCCTCCGGGTTTGAGCTTCAGCTGTGCGATGTCTTCCCCCAGCCCACCACCGCATCAAGATACTCTGCGACGATCTTAAAACAACTGGTTATCAGACCCAGGACTGGCTCTGGTGCGTGGCGTCTCAGGAATGTTCTGGCAAAACTGTCCCATTACTCCTCCCCTTTTGAGACGGTGAGTCTGGAGTCTGACATTAATTGATGCTTCCCTTAATTTCTGATTAGTACCTTTCCTTTTTTTTTTTCTTTCTGGCCCCACACCACAGGCCACGTGGGATCTCAGTTCCCTGACCAGGGATCAAACCGGCACCCCTTGCATTGGAAGCATTAACTTAACTACACTGGACTGCCAGGTTAGTCCCCCCGAAGAGTACCTTTCTACTCTGACTTATGACAAATAAAAGATTCTTATTCTACAGAGAAGCAATTAAAAAAGCAATGGCTTCCAACAGCTGTAACTAGATGATTAACTTCGCGCTTTCTACCCCACTCACTCACTACCAGTTCTCAGTGGCTGCTCTGGACTAAGCACCTGCTGGACACCAGTTAAATGGTGAACAAAGACGAAGCCCCCGTGTTCGCAGGGAAGACAGTCCAGTGCTGAAGATGAGATTAAACACAAATGAGACACAACATGCGTGTCATAAATACAAGCGACAGATCAGCGCTACAGAAGGAGATGAGGACGGCCCGCGAGGATGAGCCAAAACGGCTCAGGTAGGAAGCTCACGGTCAAGACCTGAGGGAATACTCACGTCCTGGACTTTCTGGATGAAAGGATCTTTCCATTCAAAGACCACGAAGAACAACTGAGCGCTCTTCTCGGCTGCAGGTCTCTGGTCAATGTAGTTAACTACACTGGTCTAGGTACAGAGGAGAGAAAGCAGTATTACCGCCTGTGTGCTGTGCTGGCCGGGGCTCTGGGGAAGGAAAGGGCAGTTTAGGGGATCCGACACCCCGGCTCCCCTCGCTCCATTTTTTGGAGGCAGAGAGACAAAAACCCTCCTCTACATGACATCCTCAGACTGGTCCCAGAGCCCAGGCTTCAGCTCGGTTCCCATAGTTTCTGAAAGAAACAGGCAGGATCTGGAGTACACAGAAGGTGTTCTGGACTCACCGAAATCTGTCACTAGATGCCTGTGCGTGCTAAGTCACTTCTGTCATGTCCGACTCTGTGCAACCCCTGGACCGTAGCCCACCGAGGCTCCTCTGTCCCTGAGATTCTCCAAGCAAGAATACTGGAGTGGGTTGCCATGCCCTCCCCTAGGGGATCTTCCTGACCCAGGGATCGAACCTGTGTCTCTTACGTCTCTGGCACTGGTAGGCGGTTTCTTTACCACTAGTGCCTCCTGGCAAGCCAGATATCTGTACTCTTGATTAAATCATTTTCAAAGTACTGTGTAAGACTCAATTCACAACATAAAAATCTCACATTTCAAAATACTTGACCTGAAGAGCTGAGTGTTACAACCCTTCCAGTCTCCCGGGACAAAGTGCAGCCTCACAGACTGGCCCAGCCGAGCACTCCCTGTAACAGTTAGCAGGCGTGCTTGGTGAGGCCTGGCTACAGCTACTGCGGAGGCTGGGAGGCGAACTGGAGAGCAGACAGGTCCCGGGGCAGAAGCCTGGCTGTGCCATCATCTACTCTGAGCTTTTCCTTTGCATTCATCGGTTCAGTTCTGTTCAGACGCTCAGTTGTGTGCGAATCTTTGCGACCCCATGGACTGCAGCACGCCAGGCCTCCCTGTCCATCACCAACTCCTGGAGTTTACTTAAACTCATGTCCACTGAGTCAGTGAGGCCATCCAACCATCTCATCCTCTGCCGTCCCCTTCTCCCGCCTTCAATCTTTCCCAGCATCAGGGTCTTTTCAAACAAGTCAGCTCTCCTCTGCATTCATAAACAGGACAAAACGCCCATCTCACTGAGCTGTAGTGAGGCTCTCATAAAACAACACACAGGATTTTGAACTTTACAACATGATATAAAAACATTATGAAAATAATTTTTAAAAAATTTTTGTTGAAAGGAGTGTTCACATCCCCTGGCAAAGACTTCCCGTGCAGACAATGCTAAAAGGCACGCATGCCTTCCACAGCACACAGGCTTGCAGGGGGCTGGCCCCCTGGTTTCGGATCACAGCTGGAGCTCCCAGGGGAGCCAGGGAGGCCTGTGAGGATCTAACCATGAGGTGGACACGCCGAGTCTCCTTTCTCAGCCGATTTGGGGGCCAGATAAGAAAGAGCTTGTGGAGTTCTTGGCAGAAAAGGGTGTAAAAATCCAGGTGATGACAACCATCTTGCACAACAGAAATATTTTAAGGACCTACTGCCAGGGGTCGTCACCCCCTATGGCAGGAAAAAAAAAACTGTCTCTTAAAGACAACTGGCTTCAAGCCTTTCCCAAAGGCCTCCCACCTGGAGAAGTCCTAGGGAGCGTGGTGCGGGCAGGGGCAGACCCAGAGGAGGCCCTGAGTACCTGGCTTCCGTCAGCCCGTCCGTCAGTTGGAGTGGGTCCTTCTGCTTCAACCCGGCCCCTCCCTAACGCTGCCCCTCAGAGTCCAGCCCAAATGGAACTCCTCCATGGGGGAGCAGAGGGTGAGAGAACAGAGCGGTCTCCTCCACGCCCCTGCAGGCCCCCAGCCACCGACACACAACACTCGGGATGGTTGGCCCCTGGGCGTGGATGCCGGCGGGAGGACTAAGCCCCCGCAGGGGCTGAAGCCGAGGCAACCCCAGGGTCCCCTCCCTCCACCCCTGCTCCACGCCTTTTTCCAAGAACCTCTCCCTCTCCTGCCTGGATCACGGTATACTTCCTGGCTCCAGGTTAGCAGGCTGAAAGCTTTTGGATTACATTGCCCATAAGTAGAGAGTTCTGAGCATATACCCAACACATTTATCACTCTCTTACAAGTGACATTACTATTACTGTCCTAACGTTACCTGCACTTTAAAACACTCAAAAAGAAAAAAGAATGAGATTTTTAAAATACAAAAAGAAACTTCTCCTCCTGTGTCCCAATGGGTCACCATGCACCCAACACTTCAGAGGTGACTCACTGTATCTAATCTCTGCGAATAGTCTTTTTTTTTTAATGCAGCTGCCAGCTCTGAAGACAAGAGGGAATGGAGCAGAGCTACACGCCAGCTCAGATCCAGCTGGGCCAGGCACCGCGCTGTGAAATGCTCCAGCGTGTGCGCTCTGAGAGCTGCTGGGACAAAAGCAAAGGGTATGGAGCAGGCCAGGCCTGCAGAAGGGACACCCAGCGAGCCCCCAGTGGCAGGCCCATTCTCTTCCGGGCCAACATCCACTCACCCTTAAGACCCCGGGGCAAAGCTGACCCCTCCGAGAGGCTTCCCTGCACGTGGGATTCAAGGGTGGACCCAGGGCGGTGCGAGGCGAGCCCAGAGCCACCTACCTCCTGCCGGAACTCTACCGCCTCCCGCCCGTCCTCCTTGGTCTCCACCAGGGACATCTTGACCCAGGTCCGGAAGCCCCCCGAGAATTTCCAGCTGGAATAGGCGCTCTCGCAGGCCTGCATGAAGCCGGCCCTGTCTGGGCTTGGAGGGCAGAGAAGGAAGATCCGTGTTAATCAGGCAGGACTCGAACTTGGCCAGACTTAAACTCCAGCCCCTACGGCCAGCCAGCTCCTCCGCTGGTTACCAGCAGGACATGGCCCACCCCTTCCTCACGGCTGGAGGGGGAGCTGTCACCTGCCTCAAGGCCGGAGTGTGGTCCCTGGAGCCCCCAGCAGGAGCCCCCCCCCATCTTCTCCACCACCTGCTCCCAGCAGAGGCCTGCAGAGGGGGCTGGGCCCCCAGCACCCTGGAGAACTCAGCTTCAGCAGCCCTGGGGTGCCCTCACTGCTCGTCAGCCTCCCTTTATAAAGGCCCGGAGAGGGGACGAGGCACCCGCGGCGCCGGCCCCAGGGTCACGGAGGAAACCACGGGGCAGCGCCAGCAACAGTCACAGCGGGTCAACAGGGAGGTGCCGGGCAAGGAGGGGACGTGGCCCGCATCCGCGGGGAAGGGCGGGGAGCTGCAGCTGGAAGAAGGCGCAGAAGAGGCTGAGGCAGAGGCCCCGAACCCCAGGATGGGGCTGCAGGTGTGAACGGCGGAGGTGGCTCATGGCCACGTCAGCCCAGGAGAGGGAAGTCTGTCTTCGGCCGCGGCCGCCGCTCTGCTTCCTTGAAACCGAGTCACTGCCCCCTCAGGCCCCCTGCAGGCCCCGCTCCCGCCACCCACGACCACTCTGGGCCCCAGAGGTGGCGCAACGGGGGTGTCCCAAAATGGATAAGAACTTGCACCCTCCTGCTAGAAACGGGTGGCATGCGGGCACCGGGCCCTCCCTTAGGGCCGGCCCCAGCCCCCGGACACCGCGGGAATGCAGCCCAGGGCAGAGGCTGGCCGCCCGGGGCCTCACAGAACCCGGGCAGCTCCGGCCTGTCCTCCGCAGTGCCGTCAGGGAGAGGGGGACCCAAGCACCCACCCTCCAGGGCGCAGCCAGCTCTGCGTGCGGGGTCAGAACACCCCCCCAGGCTCCCCAGACTCGGTCAGGGGCCCTCCGTCAGCCCGGCAGCCACCTGAGGTCCCCGATTCCCAGCACCTGCCCCCGCCCCCAGCCCCGGGATGCACACGGCTAGAGTGAGATCCTTGGGGTCGAGCGGGGTCTGAAGGGCACCTCTGCAGGAACTCCTGGAAGGACGAGAAGAGCAGGTAATCGATGGCGCTGAAGTCCTCACTGCTCTGGTTCAGGCGGAATTGGAGGAAGACCAGCTCTCGCTTCTGCACCTCCCGCGGCCCCTGCACAATCAGGGCGGATTTCTGCAGAGACAGAGAGACCAGAGTGCCAACCTGGGGAGCTAGGCACACGTGCCCGCCCACCAAGGCCAGTTTCCCAGCGGACCAGGCCCGGGCAACCCAGGACACAGAAGTCTCCACCAAGGGGAGGCCCCCGCCCCACCTTGACCATCCTCTCAGGACGGGGCAGGACACACCTCACAGGTCCCACCCCTGGGGCGTCACCGGGCCTGGCGGTGCCTCTCGGGGGAGCTCCACCGCTCTGCCTGGTGCAGGGAGGGACGTGGGGCCCGGGGTGCAGATGCCTCCTCTCTAGTTCACGGCCATGGACAGCAAGAAGCCACCTGGGGCTGCAGGCAGTAACTGCAGTCAGCTTCTGTCTGCACGGAAACGACTCTCCCTTTGAGCCCTCATTTCATGAATTTCTATAATAGTCAGTTAAACTGTAACTACTATAACAAATACAACCGCCTGGACGGGTGTGGGCCACGAGGACTCCTGGTAAGCGTTCCACTCAGAGGGGAGCCAAGAGGAAGGACGGCCAGGGAGCCTGTATCTGCAGCACCGTCCCAGTGGGCACAGGCTGGTACCCAGGGAACTAAGACAGCAGGGCATCCGGATAGTGTCTGCACTGTCCTGTCCACTCTTCCTTAAAATTTCTTACGGTTCTTTTCATTTAAATTAGCTTGTTTCCTGGAGTCAGTTCTTTTCGTTCCTCTCCAGCCTTTCGTGCTGCTGGCCTCACGTCACAGTCCGGCGGCCCTGAATTCTTCATTCTGAGTGTAGGGTTGGGCTGACGAGCGTGGGTCTGGGCTGTGGGCTTCCTCCTAAGTGGGGCTCTTGCAGGCTGGCCCCAGCCTGGGGCTGACGGGGAGGAAGCCCCAAGGCAATGGGCCGTATGGGCCGTGCGGGCCGGCGGGCCAGGCGCTCTGCATCCTTGTCTGCCATGAAGTCCTTTCCCCCAGCGCTCTCCTCCTTGCGCTGCGGACGTCCCATCTCGAGTTCTGCTGTTCCTCTCTGCGGGCCCAATGCCCAGGCAGGGACCCCCCACCCCGAGCTTATGCAGAGAAGGGCCCCAGGGCCTTCTCCCCAGAGCAAACACTGTCCCCAGCAGCCCCGCAAGGGCTGCAAGCCAGGCCGGTGGGCCCACAGCCAGGATCCTCCTCTGCCTGATGGGCAGCTAGCTCTTCGTGATGACAAAGAGCTGGGAGTGGGAGGAAAGCCTTCACCACAACAGCGGGGACCCCATGGCACCTGCTTCCGGACACGGGCTTTCCCAGGCCCTGCTCCATCGATCTGATCCAACAGGCTGTTTATACTTTACCCCAGTTCCTCAAAATCTCTGGTCCTCCTATCCGTTCTTGGTTGGCAGGGATATTATCGATATTGTATCTTACTCTATCGTGTGCAGGAGTGGGAATCATTTCAGCAGGATTTTAGGAGGAGGTTTAGAATACATATTAACAAAAAGTCTCAGAGGAATTCTTTCATCTCAAGGTCCACCTGGGGGCTCTGTTATCACCCAAGGGGCAGGTCCTGCTCCATACTTGACATGCGAGCTGCCTTGTCCGGCCAGTCCTTCTGTCCACAGCTTCACCATCTGCTGCCCTTTGGGGGCCCCTGGCTCTCCAGAGACACCCACCTGTGGAATTTTGCTCAGAGACGCAAACAAGCATGCCACTGCCTCCCTTTATGTTTTGGTGCAGAGTTCCTCTGCCTAGAAAGCCTTTCATTTCCTTCCTCGCTTTGAGCTGGAAAACTTAACGCAGCCCTGTACTTTAGGAAACAAGGATACAGGATGCAAAGGAGAAGATGTACGTATACACAGAATTCCTTCCTTGCCTTCAGAACCCTGGTCGTCCACTTCCCGCTGCGTGGAGCCTCGGTGACGGCAGGGCCGTGGTCCTTGTTCCAGGACCAGCGCTCCTTCTTACACTGGCCCGCTACTCCAGAACATGGATTCCCAGGCCCGGTCCCCAGGAAGGAACCACGATTCCGGTGGGCCCAAGTGGAACCCGGAATCTGTATTATCAGAAACGACCCTGGCAGTTCTGTTGAGCACTCAGGTATGGGGCCTGCCTGGCAACATCAGACCAGCTCCACTCTGCAGCCCTGCCTCCTTCCATCCAGGACCGGGTCTCATCACACTGCTGGGAATCGCAGAGGGTCACTCAGAGAAGGCTCAGGCCCCACTGCCCACCCTGGATGCAGGCGAGCCAGCCACGGCCAGACCCGAGGACGGGGGGCCCCGTGTTTGCTGGGGGCAAGGGCCCACACTAAGGGCATGGGAGGCTAGCTGGCAGAAAGAAGTTAGGGACCCTCAGGGAACCCGCTGACAGAGCCCTCTGCCCAGTCCCGGCCCAGGTGACGAGCGTTACCAGGGTCTGATTGGAGAAGGGGTCCGTGTAGTTGATCCTCTGAGTGGTGCAGTTCACATCTCCAGGCTGCCCGGGGCTCCTCAGAGGCGGGATGACCTCGTAATAGTGCTTACAGCTGAGCAGCTGGGCCTGACCGGGATACAGGGCGATGCCTGGAGGGGGGACAGGGAGAAGTGGACACACCCCTAAAACCACGTCATGTGTACTGTTTCACACTCAGCAGTCACCTAAGTCCAGGGCTCCCGGGGTGACTGCAGAGGCGGAGGAAGAAAGAGGCTGTTTACCGAGGGTGGGGAGCCCACGCCCGTCCTCAGAAAGCCCCGCTCCACGGAGGCGGCCGGGCCTTCTCCGTCAGCCCCTCTCCCGGCCGGGGACGCAGCCTCCCTGGTGTCTACACCGACACCCACCCCATTCAGAGCCCTGCTCCATGTGCTCCCAGGGGGCCCCCCTGAGACCAAGCCGGGAGGCCGGGCCCCGGGACTGCCCCCCACCTGCAGGCTCACCAGGCGGCCCTCGGCGGTGGGACTCCCCAGGTCTCCCCGTCTCTCATCTCCTGCTCCGGCTGGGCGCTCCCGAGTTTGCAAGTTACCCCGCCCAAGTCCCTCCCTTCCCCAGCCAAGGCGCCTCGCTCCAAGCTCCGAGGATGGCAGCTGCTCTGACCTCACTGAGAGCTGCGCGTGGACCCCGGACACCGGCAGCGTCAGAGGCAGAGGGACCAGATGAAACCCGCCAGACCAGGGAGTGAAAAAGGGGCCAGAGTAAAACCCCCAGACGGAGGCCAAGGCGGACACACAGCGAGGGGGGCAATCACAAAGCGGGCGAAGGCGCCGGGACCCGAGACTCCGGCTCTGCGCTGTGAGCAGTCCGTCCGGAGGGTCACTCGGGGGTGTCCTGTGGGCACAGGGTGCGGGCACAAGCCAGCTGGGCAGAGTCCGAGCCCCCAGAGCTCACGCCCTCCCCTCCCACCCCACGCCCCATTCACATCATGCTGCCAGAGCCCGGTACCAGCACCGCTGCCCTGGAGCAGACAGTCCCCTCTTTGGCAGAGATAGCTCCCCTCTCCAGGCAGGCCCCAGCCACCTCTGGATGGCCGCGCCTCCCCCGCCCCCCAGAGCTCCCACTTCCTGGCGTCACTGGCCGCCGGCTCCAGCCAGGCTAGACTCACCTCCCCAGAGAAGCCCTGTCTCCCTAATCTCTCCTCTGCTCCTATAGCTCCCCTCTCCAGGCAGGCCCCAGCCACCTCTGGATGGCCGCGCCTCCCCCGCCCCCCAGAACTCCCACTTCCTGGCGTCACTGGCCGCCGGCTCCAGCCAGGCTAGACTCACCTCCCCAGAGAAGCCCTGTCTCCCTAATCTCTCCTCTGCTCCTACAGACCCGCCTCCCAGAGAAACTCTTCCATTAGCCAAAGCCCAGCTCAAATCCCGCTGTGAACGAAGCCCTCGGTGCCCACCCTAGCCCTGCAGCCAGCACTCCAGGCTCAGTCCGCCTGCCTCCTCGGCACACGACCCTCTGGCTGGGTACCAACCCAGACTGTGCTGGGACTCCCTGCCCTGCCCGTGGTGCCTGGCACTGTGCCAGGAATGCAACGGCGGCTCAGCGGGTATTGAGAAGTCGCTGTCTGGGACCTGATGCCTATCCCGGGGCAGGCTCTACCTGGGGCGTCGTAGCGATCCACCTCCTTGTAAGACACCGACATGACAGGGTGCTTGAGCTTCTCGCGGAAGTCCATGATGGTCTGGTAGACCAGGAAGACGGCCACGGCCATGAGCAGCAGGTAGATGAAGATGAGCAGGACTGAGAAGACGTTCTTCAGGCAGGCCTTGCTGAAACGGATGCTGCTGGAGGCCGACTCGCTGTCCAGGGCTGACCGACAACACACACATGACCCAGAGGTCATCTCCAGGACCCTGACCCGCTTCACCCCAGAGGCAAGGCTGTCTGCACACCTCACCTCCCCCCACCCCAAAGCCCAACACCTGGCACCCATCAACATACACCACACTCCTGCTCTGCCAGGACGGGGACCCTGAGCTGGAGGAGACTCCCCCAAGAGACGCTTTCAACCCAGCATGGGCGCTGCCCACCCCTGACGAGCTGTATCAGTGTGCCCTCCTCTGCCCTGAAGGCCCTCTCACCCCCAGCCTGTTCTCCCAATGGCTGCCTCCTAACTCATCCTTCAGGTTTCAGTTTAGAAAGGATTGTCCTCAAGGAGGCCCTCCCTGACCCCGTAACTTGACTGAGGCAGCCCTTCCTCGGTGCTCCCAGGACACCCTATGGCCCCGGTCATCACTCTGCAATGTCACCGTCTACACGTCTCTTTATCCCCCCAGGCTATGAGCTCCATGAGGGCGGACACGGGGCCATTCTTGTCCACACTGCACCCCCAGTCCTTCATGCGGTACCTGGAATGCAGCGGGCCTTCTGTAACTAAACGGTGAATGACGGCATGTGTCCTGAGGCCATCCCCTCCCC